TATATATATATATATATGGGGGTTTTCATTATCAAGCAAGGATGTCCTTTGTTTCTTCTTGAGCCACACATGGCCCATTTAATTTTTGACGAAGTATAAAAAATAAATTGCGTAAGTGTAAACTTGTCCTAAAAAATGTTTATTTACAGATCGATAATTTCTAACGTTACAGATTCCTATTTGTACATCGAATTTACAAGAAATCTTCTCATGAAGTATTTCTCGCGCTTAAAAAAACCCATTAACTCACATTCTTCTTATCTCGTAGCTCCGCTGTATCATTAACTTCTGTGCCATAAAGGTTATCCCACAAATAAATATCTATCGGGTTTAAGTCAAGCGATCTTGAGGGCCATAGGTCGAAAACGTGGCGTTCAAACATTTATATTTACGTCGAAGTTCTTCGTTGTTTCTGTACTCAACACGTAGCTCTAAGTGTTGTATTTTATTACATAAACTTGCTTATATATTTTATAATCTGTCTTTTATTGTTATTTCATTAAAATATTCGGAATCGGAAGAAATATTGATAGAAAATTTGAGACAGACACTGAGTAGGAATTGAAAACTTGTTGCTGATTATCTTTTGAATTAAAGTGACTCTTGTGTGTGTGTATACAAGATGAAGTGACGTAGTGATTTTTTTTTCTTACAGGGAATTGCGAACAGCAGTAAGAGAATCTTTGGTGGGCAGGAGAGAATCTGAAGTCAGTGGTAAAGTAGACAGATCGCTTGTAGCATCGTTTGATGTTCTAAACCTGGTACAAGAAAAGAGTGCAACCGACAACGAGGGTACTCTGGGTCTCAACGAACCTGAGGGTGAGATATATTGGCTTTGTTATTGAAAGGAGACAAACGGCAAATTGATTTTTTTTTAACTTTGAAACAGAGTTTATTTTACGTTTCCTGATACATGACGTTAAAGTTTAATGCAAATGTAGTCACTCCGATAGAATTTAAGAAATACGTAAACTTAAGCAAACGATTCACGTGATTAATAAATTTCAAGGTCAACTCAGTTGATCTGAACGGTTTTGAGTATTTATTAAAAAGTAAACGGAATACAGAAATGAAATTTACGCAGTTTAAAAGAGAACTTTAAAAATATTCGGAAGTGGGTGGTTGAAGTGACGTAATTTCTACTAAACTTAGTAGAACAGTAACTATTAACATGACAGTAAAATAACGAGTATAGTTGTACAAAATTAGTGACCACTCTTTAAAGAGGTTTCCGAAGAAGTTATACAAAAATACTCCATGTGCTAATTCAGATCGCTTTTGGGGGGGGGGGGGGGTTGATTGATTCGACGTTTTGAATCATGTCAAAGATTACACTTCTAGTAGTCATCATTATAGTTACAAATAGTATTAAAATATATTAAAATTGTCCGTCAATCACAATAAAGTAATATAAGATAATTAAATGGTTAAAATATTATCCTTTGTTCCGTATCGAGTACTCGATTGACATATGGAACATTCTCGACATGTTTCGGCTTTCATAGAGCCGTCATCAGGTGTTTATGTTATAAACTCTTAATTCAATTACTAATTTTTAATTTTTAATTTTCTTATCATTTCTTCGTTTTTCCTTGTATCAACTTATTTGATGTGTTATATAACATTGATGCAATCGTATTGTCGGAGTGATGTTAATGCTGCGTATACTGGTCTGTGAATTAAAGGATTCAAACCATTAATGAAATTTAATATAGAAAACAAAATAAATAAATGAAAGTAAACGTATAAACTTACCAGAGAAGTAATATCGAAGTTGTAAGAGGAGAGATCAGAAGTACATCGTATCGGAGCGAGGTTGGTTATTGACTGCGGTGTTAGTGGGTGAAAGGCGGTTTGTCAGGGTTGAGGTCAAGGTACTGGAGTGCATTAAAAATGGGGTTGTTAAGTAAAATGTTATTGTCATTAAGGCATATGTTTTGTTTATAAGTTTGATATATGTGATATTTTTCTATTGTATTGTAATTGAGTTAAGAGTTTAAAACATACACCTGATGACGGCTCTATGAAAGCCGAAACATGTCGAGAATGTTCCATATGTAAATCGAGTACTCGATACGGAACAAAGGATAATATTTTAACCATTTAATTATCTTATATTACTTTATTGTGATTGACGGACAATTTTAATATATTTTAATACTATTTTTAAATAAAATCACAATATGACGCACCTACAATATCTTATAAATTATAGTTACAATTTTTCTCAAAAATGTTTGAAGTTCTTGTTCGTGTGGCGCAGGTTATGAATTTCTATATACAATTTAGATTTTGTCAAATAAATATTTTAAACCAGTCATTTTAATTACAGTGTTATAACAGGCGTAAATCATTTTTCCGGTATAAAGTTCGAAATTTAATGATTTAATGGGACTTCCGATAGAATTCTTATCAATTTTGCCCCTGATGATTAGATGAATTGTCATTAGAGGATTTTTAATATTGTATCCGAACCACGGTCGGGACCTGGTATTCCTTGCATTTACAAGTATTTTATCGCAGGAGAAATACAATACATCCTATATGTTTGTAGATAAATATATCGAAATTAACTTCAGCCTGATTTTAATTTAATCTTTAAAATTTACTCTTGAAAATGGTTACATAATTTACCCAGCGTCATATTAACTCTTTAAAACTTAGTGGTAACTATACGTCCCACCTCTTGTACAATCACTAACTTAATTTTTTTATGAGTTTCGTATTATCTTCACTGTAAACAGCGATTATTTCCTTAAACAGCGTTAACCAGTTGATTTTTGTAACGGTGAAGTTAGGTGTTTTCTATGCGGTACGGACTGAATTCTTAAATGTTATTTAGACGATCTTCGACTTGAAAGGGTTAATTCTCATTTATTATATACAATTTTGTCTGGAAATGTTTAAAAGTAAAGTTTTGGGCAACAAATCCATAGAATAGTCTTCGGAATGCTTCACATTAGTAATTATTTGTGAAATCTTTCCCGTATATGAGATTAAAGTCTCTTGTACGGGGAAAGAAATTATTTTCCTTTATCCACAGATTTTGTTCTTTGAAACACTCAGCAGACCATAAATAAACCTTCTGCCTGCAGGGATTAGATCAGAGACCTGTTCCGAATTTCATCTGTCTTAATCTACGAGCAAATCTCCACAATCTTTCTTCTTTCGTACAGTGTTTTATTTCGGAATCAATTTCTTATCTGTTTCGTCTTACTGTTTTTAAAAGTATTTTCTAGTTTTGGACACATTCGTTTTATCTTAGTTGGAATACTCCGTAGCTGTAATTCTTTATGATTCGTTTATTTTAAATTTAATCGTATAAATCAACAAATTTATGATTTGTCTGAAAATTCTATTCCCCTCACTTTGGATCTGCATTTATTATACTTGTACCTGGGTGATGTAGGTAACAGAACTGGCAAGAGATTTTGAAATATGAATATTTAATTATCTTAATATAGGCAGAACGTAATAAAATTATCGCTTTAATGCGTGCAGACATTATATGATATTCTGAATGTCGTAAAGATTTTGATTGTAACGCTACGTAGTCTTATAAATGATTTCCAACGTTTTAGAGGGACGTGTCGCGTGCATATTCGGAGTTGAATCAAGTCCGGACACGCGGACCTCATGTTTCGTGTTTCATTTTCCCTGAATTATCCCTCGTAGCCCCACCCTAATATACTTCAACACTGAAAATGAAGATGATATGTCCCCTCGAAATTTTATTAACCAACTGAAGGCTACGCGGTGTAAAAATTCAGAATATAACAAGTCGACCAAATTTAATATTTCGTGAATTATTTAAGATCGATTTATTAACTAAATTTATTTGGCGTGGAGATGTGATGACAATTAAGTGATTAGTTGATGGGGTATTTGGAATAATGTAGGTGTGACGTATTTTAAGGCACTTTTAAAGCGATTGATTCACAGGGACTGAACAAAACCATGAAAAATCTCGATTAATGAAATGTTCCGGATTAGAATCTTGTATATCTCCAGTGCAGTTCTGGGAAGGTTGTTGACCCACGGGCCAAGATACAAAACTCTAACCACTCTTCTGTATAGTTCGGTTCTTATACTTACCAGTCTGATAACAGAGGAAGTGTATGGAAGCTATTTTTGTCGGTTATATGGACGAAGACGGCCGGATGCTGGGGAAACAGGAGATACCTTGTCTTCTCTACCTTCATCTGTATAATCAACTCGCATTCTTATTTTCACCCTGAAGATGGAAGCGATAGATTACCCCGAAACGTTGGAACCATGTACAAGGCTATAAAGAGCATTATCCAAAAGACCACGATTAAAATTGTTTTCTTAGTAAAAATATCATCTCTCGAGATAAACGATGTTTTTCTGTTTTTTCCTTGTATTTCGTTATAAATTAAGTATATATAGTAACATTTTTCAAATAGCATTTGTATTTGTGAATAACCTGTTTGGAGTCTGTCACGATTTGTCGTGTAAATGAAGGGTTTAAGCCTGTTGGAACACAAAAGAAAATAATTTTACGTTATCCATGTGTTTCATCAAACTATGTTATCGTATCTTTCGTCATATTCACACCCCTCTCGCTGTGGTACAGGATATTCTTTGAAAAGTCGAAGGTATACTTCACTTGTCAAAGAATAGCCCACTTTCTTCATGGAACCCGAAAGTTCATCACTGTGTTCACAAAAGCCCGACATCATCAATACGACTTTTGTCCCCAGAGAATATAATTACAAAGCCACCTGCCTCTGTGCATTGGGATTTTAAGGTTTTGGGGTTAAATGATGAGTAGCTACAAGCAAATCAGTTTCTTCGCGTGTCTCATTATCAGCTCATTCTTCAGAAGGATATAGTTGAATGTACTACATCACCCCATCCTTTTACCATAATTCCCCTTATGCGCATTTCTGTGGTCATCACAAAAAAGTCGAACTGTACTATACAGCCAAATAATCTAAAATCAGTGGTAGAGATACGAGCAACGCGTGTGTTTCAGAAGCTAAGGCCCGTTTCTAGTGAGGATGATTCAGTGGTAGTACGTAAATTGAGTTGTCAGGTCGTTCTAGCGGTAAATCTTACGAAGATTTTACGAAACACTGCAGAATTATTGTTCTCACTGTCTTATAGTACTGTTTTTATCCCGATGTAAACAAATTTCTTACGCTTGTTAATACACTGTCTTTGTTTCGAGTTTTTTAGCCGCGTTGGCTAACGAAAGAGAGATAATGTAGCTTAGGCTTGTTAATATACTGTCTTTGTTTCAAGTTTCTTAGCCGCGTTGACTAACGAAAGAGAGATAATGTAGCTTAGCAAAGAAAGGATCAAAGTTGAATTTCCGTAATTCACACATTTCGTGAGGTTTTAGTTCCGTTCGCCGAGATGTTTTGTTTGTACAATTTTAACTTTAGAGTATGATACGCGTCAAATATTTTTCCATCTTCAGGGCGAATATCTAATGGTCGTTTTTGGAAGCCCTATGTAGAGGCTAGTTTCTCCGTTCTGTTAATCAGTAACATTGAATCCAATTTGATACTCGCTGAATGCCGAAAGAAGGCTTCTAAAAATTCTCTCAAGATGCGAAAATCTAAGGAGAATAATAACATGTTCCTTTCCAGGCGAGAGTGTCGCTGTTTCGTGGAAGTTGGTGGGCGAAGTTGTAGGGCGAGGAGTTCGCCTGGACACAATCGTGTGGCCGGGAGGTGACCTGGTTGTAGCAGGTCTCTCTCCTCGTGCTCGGAGTGTGTTTCGTATCGTAACAGCTCTGGCCCCACCGTTCGTGATGGAGGGCGAGTTGGACGAGGACGGGCAATGTCTGCGCGGCCTACCCTGTCACCGGGTCCTCACATCTGACAAGGACAACCTCACGCTTGTCTTCAACGAGATGGAGACCAATGAACGGCTAGAGGAAGAAGAACTATGTATATTGAGTACACATTAATTAATTCCTAGTTTAATCATTTATAGTCGAAAAATCTGGCTAAAATGTTACAAGTTACGAATTGAAAATTTTGGAAATAATTACGCATTTAACGTGCCAGAAATTGTTAAATTTCCTAACTTGTTCCTCATGAGAGTACCTGTGAGTTATATCCTGGGTTTCGATTCGATATATCTGATTTTCTCAGACACTGCGTGGATTCACAAAACTTTGAAAAATTTTGTAGCTAGTAAGATATGTGTTGTGATGAACTGCGGTAGTGAACAAGTGATAACTTAGTTTAACACAACTTTCAACTTACGAAAGTTCCTTTAAAAAAAGTTTCATCTGTCTTCAAACTCAAGGTAAACTTATCTGTAAAGTTTATCGCTATACTGTCAAGGATTATGTGCGAGATTTACACTTGGGTGGCCATTGATTCAATCTTGAGATGAATAAGCCTACCACAGGATTTTCCACCTTGATAAATCGAGACACAGCTGTCACGCGGATATCAATTTGAGAACCTCTTATAAAAATTTTGGTTTATTTTGTTGTTTAATGGGGCGATAAATGACTCGTATCGGTAAAGGAAATTTGTAGCTCTTGGTTGTGATTCATGCTGTTCTTTCCAGAGCCGGAAAATGACAGTTACGTTCCATGAGAGAACAAAAAGACTTACGAACGGGAGACATGATAAATGCTTACAGAATTTTAGCTGGAATATCTGAAGGGAAAAAAAACAAATTGAAGATTAATAGCAGAATAAATGTTAAAATGGATCTTATAAGATTGCGATGCGAGTATATGGACTGGATTAATCTGGCTGTCGCGAATACGGCGTTCAATATAAGGTGGAGAATTTCTTGAAAATTTGAACAACTATTATATCTTGTAAATGACTTTGTTTCATGAAATAAATCTAAAACACGATAAAATGTTTACGGCAAAATAGCTCAGTAGTTACTATTATTTTGGGTCTGTGTGTTCTTCTTTCGAAAGCATTGCCACATTTTAAATGAAAAGCCACTAGAATGTTTGCATGTTTTGAAATTTCTACTGCCATTCAAGTTTTCGAAGTCCTCTGACGAATGCCAAACAATTGCTACTAAAATTAACGTATTTAATAAACTAACATTTTTGTATCTTATCTTTACGTTACGTAAAATATTACGAAGGAAAATTAAGTAGATTCAAATGTCAGAACCATATTTTTGTATCTTATTTTTACATTACGTAAAATATCACAAAGGATAATTAAGTAGATTCAAATGTCAGAACCAACAAAATCAATTTGTATTTTCCGATGAATAATATTTAAAAAATAATTACGTACCGCAAAGAAAACAACTCTTCACCGTAATCTGGTTTTGGCTTCGCACGCAAACCTAACCTAACTTAACCTATAATTTCGTATCTCTGTCGGATACTAAAAATAACTCCTCATAGTTCTTACGCGCCCACCAAATTCTGACAAATTAACATTAACAGAAATTATTTGGTTAGAGATGTTTAAGTAAATGATAATTGATTAATTGATAGTCGTACATAGCCCATAAATAGGGAACCTAATCTGGTTTTGGCTTCGCACGCAAACCTAACCTAACCTAACTTAACCTAACTTAACTTAACTTAACTTAACCTAACTTAACCTAACCTAACCTAACTTAACCTAACCTAACCTAACCTAACCTAACTTAACCTATAATTCCTTTTTATTTCTTGCCGTCGTCTTACTGTTGTTTTGTATTTAGGAGGCCCCAATTTCGTATCTCCGTCGGATACTAAAAATAAATCCTCATAGTTCTTACGCGTCCACCAAATTCTGACAAATTAACATTAATTATAAAACTCGCCACTTGAAAAAACGCATTGCATAACGTTTAATTCTTAATCTGTTTCAGCTTTGATTGACGAAGATTCAGTGTTAAATATTCTGACAGCGAAGACAGTTCGCGATACGGAATCCCAACCCAACGGTCAGAATTCTGATGACGTCAGACGTCGGCCATTTGCATCGTCTTCCCCGACATTTGAGCTGCCTAATAGTCACCAACGATACAAATACAAGACGAATTGTTGTTATGGTCTAGCAATGGACTTGCTTGAGAATATTGCTCAAGAACTCGAATTTGACTTTCATCTTTATATAGTAGCAGATGGTCTTTTTGGAACTAAGTCTCGCGATGTCCAACAATCTTTTCACTCAAGAGCGAAGAATACGGTTGTTGAACGTGGTGATCCAAAATGGAATGGAATTGTTGGTGATTTGGTTTCTGGTGCAGCGCATATGTCATTCGCGGCTTTGAGTGTTTCAAGTGCTAGGTCAGAGGTCATAGATTTCTCAGCTCCGTATTTTTTTAGTGGCGTGAGCTTCCTGGCAGCTCCGACACAGAAAAGTGAAATACCACTACTCGCGTTTTTGTTACCGTTTAGTCCAGAGCTCTGGATCGCGATATTTACGTCGCTGAACATAACTGCAATGGCGGTCGCCGTTTACGAGTGGTGGAGTCCGTTCGGGTTAAACCCGTGGGGTAGGCAGAGGAGTAAGAATTTCAGTATTGCGTCCGCGTTGTGGGTGATGTGGGGACTGCTCTGCGGACACCTGGTGGCATTCAAGGCCCCAAAGTCGTGGCCGAATAAGTTTCTCATCAACGTCTGGGGAGGATTCTCGGTTATATTCGTGGCAAGTTACACCGCCAACATCGCAGCCCTCATAGCCGGACTATTTTTCCACAATGACGTCAGCAACTACCACGACCGAAGCGTAAGTACACGATAAATTGTAAATTTAGATGCAGGTGACCCAAAAAATATATGAATACATTATAATATCTAATGTTATCGATAGATTATCGATGTTATGTTTGTTATCGATTGCTCATCGATGTTATCTTTGTTATCGATTTATCATCGATGTTATCGATTTATCATCGATGTTATCGATTGTTCATCGATGTTATCGATTTATCATCAATGTTATCGATTGTTCATCGATGATATCGTTGCTATCGATTGATCGTCGTTATCGATTTATCATCGATGTTATCGATTTATCATCAATGTTATCGATTGTTCATCGATGTTATCGTTGCTATCGATTTATCTTTGTTATCGATTGCTCATCGACGTTATCTTTGTTATCGATTTATCACCGATGTTATCGATTTATCATTGATGTTATCGATTGCTCATCGATGTTATATTTGTTATCGATTTATCATCGATGTTATCAGCGCCAAAAGCTAACGGTGGCCATTATGAACACCTACACTAAATTTGTTAATTTGCTGTGTCAATATTGACATACGTAATGGTTTAGGTTATTAAAATGTTTTTATTTTATTTATTTAAGTGTATATATATGTATTTTGGGGACACCCGTGAATGCTTATTAATGTAAAATAAATATTTAAAACCAGAGTTAAAGTATAATAATCTATATAAAGCCGAGTATATTTAGTAAATATAAACTAGTGGTTGTCAACTCAGGGAGGCTCGTGTACTTTTATTGTAATTATGTGTTACACTGTTTGATGAAAATGGTTGCTAATATGAGAAAAAAACATTTATTTAATATCGTCAGTATTTTGTAATAATCGTAGTAATTGCCCAGCGTAAAGTTTAACGTGAAATAAAGAAGTTTTTGTAGCCGTGATTAAAACTTAATCGAAACAAAAACAAATATAATTTTATATGTAAATGTAACTCAGATAATAGCCGCTAATAAGTAATTCTGTCAAAGAAATTATTGATTAACGTAAATCTATTTGTGATATTAAGTTATTAGCATTCATGAAGTTTCGGTTGTCTTGTCGTTAGCAAGTCGATAAATACTGGTCGAATATGATGTTCGACGGCAATAGCTTCTCGCTACTACGTCGGTTACCGTGGTTCCTTGCTCCAGCGGTACAGCCACCAAATATCCTCACTACTCGCCGGATAACAGCAAAATTAATAGTGGCCCAGTTTAAAACAGTAGACGAGAAAGGAAATAAAAATTGTTAAATATTTTAGTCAGAAACAATATACGGCTTCTAATAGCCAGAGTGTCCTATGAATTTTGTAAATGCTTCATTTTTTTATGCTATTTCTAGTCAGAATTCTCATATGAACATGAATACGATTATCAGGGATTACGCATTAACAGATTCAAATTAGTTTTAATCTTACGAAAAATATCTGTTTCATTCAGGCGTCTTGAACCGTCGAAAATTTTACAATATACTTCATCCATTCTGTTTGTTAGGCTTTCGAATGCCATGTTTTTTATTAAACTGTGACCGCATTGGCCAATTCTGCGGATCACGACAAACAATCCATCGGTCATTCACGTACTCCGTTAAGCGTCAACTGAAATGTGGGGGTGTTCCATCGCAGTGGAAATAATCTGTGGTCACGTTTTGTGTCCTTTAAATCGCTAATTTGCATACCTAGATCCATATTTCCAACTGGAAATGACTTCGGGAATGAGATCGAAGTATTTAAATAAAGAAGCCAAACGCCTTGCATACGTAATTGTAACCCTCAGGATAGAACCACTCGTATACTCAACTTCGACGTTTCGGTGTTCTCATAATTTAGCATAACAGTCTAGCAAATATTATTTGTCAACGGGGTTATAAATTCTGGAATATGAACTGACGGGCAGATTCATCTATTTTGGAGGGTAAAATAACCTCTCAGAGGAATGTCTTCTCAATATTAACGTGAACAATCTGAAACAAGAAAGTTTACGTATCGATAAATTGACGTCATGACACGGTGTAAGGCGATATTTACATTCTGAAACTTTATAGTTCTTTTTTTCATTTTCATGTTTTCTCCACTGAAATGATGTGAAGTGAGCGACATTTATTTTACCGACACATTAAATAAATTTTATATATTGCCTTTTCGAGGCGTTGTCAGAAAGCTTTTCTGGAAATTTCTTCTCCTGTGCTTGAGTAAATATTCCTTCTAGCTAACTCAGAAGTCAAAATATACAGAATTGAATAGAAGGAGACTCAAAACTTACAGCCAAACTCAATATGAACTACTGTACGCGAGAGTCACGTCTCTATGACGCGTTTGGCCTGAGAAGTCACGTGCTACACTACTATCAGACTCAAAAACGTCGTACTTGTTAAAATTTTTTACGTATTTAGTAATAGTTGAAAACAATTTAATTTGTAAAATAGTCAGTACAGATCTGTTACTGTCTTTTATTTTGAGTTCGCGAATGAGAAATGCACGATGCTGGTGTCTGGTTTGTTTTAACTCTAGGACCACAAGTTTTAGAAAGAGTAGTAGCGCGTACCTTACCTGTAAATCCACGGTCGAATTTTCAAGGACGAAGTTTTAAATTCGCTTGTACCTACAAATAAGTTGTCACCTTATATTTAATTTGCTGTTTAAACCAGAGTGGGGACTATTTATCACGTAACGTCGTAATTATGAAGAGGATTTAATTTTTAATTTATTGGTTGTTTGTTTTAATCTAAAATGTATGTAAATTTGTATACGTTGAGCCGATTGTGACAAAATTAAGATTCTTGCAAAATAGGTTTTGATTTCGACAACCGCGAACCGAAATTAAATTCGCCTGATATTTTTAGCGTCTAACTTAAAATCGGATCTAGTCTAAATCTATGAAATAGTTTCGGACAAAAACATGATTTTACAGTGAAGACACGAAAGGAGAAGTCTAGATGCAAAGAGATGATTTACTTATGGAGATGTGAGTGTCATTTTACTTCTGGGAGGTAGAGAGAGGCTTAGAAATAACATCTTATTGTTATAAGGTTCCCAGGCTATGCTCGTTGGTCCTTAATAAAGATGTCAGTCTCAGACGTTAGGATGATAAGTAGTAATCCCGTCGAAAGATTTTCTCGACCATTTATGAAGGTGAAATTGTGACGAATACACTCGAATTGTTATTTCGTACGTGATGTGACTTTTTCGATTACCGTGTACGCATTGCAGTGCTGTGATTACTGTTTCGATGTGGTGGACCAGTTTTAATCTTTTATACGTGCGACTTTTGACATTTAAATTGTATCACAAAGGTTTATATTTCAAAGCATAGCTGTTACAGTGTACTTTGAAGTCCCAGGTAATATATAATACTCGTGTGTTCGTCACATTTAGCAGTCCAATTAGCTCGGAAGGGGAGTACAGTCAACCCAAATATCAGAAATACGTGGTAGAAAAATTAAACTTGGATAAATGTAATGATTTTGTAATAGTTAACTTTGGAGTGTTATCAGACTGGAACAACTTAAAAATGTAATTAATTTAAAGTAACACGAGTTTTTTTTTACATCGGTTTAAATAAACAAGAGTTGAAAGTTGTACTTCATTTTGGAGTAGTTATATTTTTCGAATTTGTTCTTTATTTCAATTTTGCATGTCTCATTGCCCTTAAGGTTCATTTTTTTGTAGATAAATGTCTGTTGATACTTCATATAATGTACTTATTGAGTTACGTAGGTTTATTTATTTTACTTATAACCGATTTTGTTAAATTTAAACAAATATAAAGATTTATCATATAAAATATTTTCCATAAACGAAATATTTTATGTATTTATATCAGATCTTACATCTTAGTATGTTATTTACATATATGAAAAGAAAAATGTATTTACTTATTTATTTATAGTTTATTTAACGATGTTTTTAATATCTAGACTGTACGTCGTGAGTAATGAATCGGAAAGAATTTAAAAAAAACGACCCGGGACCTCTCGAAAACGAAACATGAGAGCTAATCACTCAAATACGACGTATTGTTAAAATGAAAAATATCTTGGAAAACGTAATAATATTTATTTTATTAAAGACGAAAAAATTGGGCCCGTAATATTTTTTTTTCAGTTTTAAAACAATGAATGTTGTGTGTGACTAGAATCTTCTTTCATTAATATGTTACGTATAGTCCGCGTCTGTTTACGTGGCGTCTGCGCTCTACAGTAATAATTTTGCTTGGCTCGTGACGGCACGGTTTAAGCAACGGGACTGCGAAGAAATCTCTGCGTGTTTCAGTTACATGTATGAGAAGCAACTAAGCATTAAACAAAGGAATGTAGCTTCTTGGAAAGATCTTATAACTGTATAGTTTCGCATATCTACTCATATGCTTATAAAATCATTTTGTTTATATTAGAATTAAGTTAATGATTTAATGATTCTTTCTTTGTCTATAAATTTTTTCCCCTCAGCTCTTTAAACGAGTCGAAACTCAATTACCACTAAAGTTATTCTACCGAATGGAAAGCAGTCTCTGCCGACAATAGAATTTAATTGGAACTTTCGAAGGCGTGAAAATTCATTAACTTTGTTTCTGAAAAGCTTTATATATTATTCTGTGAGGAGAAAGTCTGCTCTGTGTTATATTATATCTCCTCTTTTATGATTCATATGTGAAAGGATATTTTTCAGAAGCGATAACTAGTTGATTTGCAATTTCCGGTTTTTCCTTTGCAGATCACATTCTCCGCCATTTTGTATTCACAAGATCGTACACGTATCCAGTTTAATACGACATTAGATATGTTGATTGTGTTCTTTGTGTTGTGACACTCAAGTGTATTTTATTTATAGTTGTTCAATATTTTGAACGCCCCCTCTAAAACGGTGTCTTTATGTATGGGTGACGTAATAAACTATTGTTAAAAGAAAGTTAGGTTAGGTTTGGTTCTTTTTGATTTTGGTACCGTGTTGATTCGTCGGTAGATGACCAATATTTCGAGAAAAAAAATATACTTCGTTTATATTCAGGATTGAAGTGGCTTTGCTGGCAAGTGTCCCTGAATCTTCTACCCCTCATTTCTCGTCCTTTCCTCCACCCCTTCTACTTTCCAGCATTGCCACTTAAGCCCTGAAAATGGAGACAATGTTTCTACGGAAAGTTGGCGTCTGTCTACGTGTTGGCATGGCGCCAAAACTAAGAGAAATACAACCATCGTTACCGCCGTGAAGAATCTTAAATCTCACAGAAATTAAAACAAGTTTAGTAGGAAAAAATGTAGATCATAAAAAGTCCTTATTTATCTTTCTGGAAACATGATATGTTCCTGGTGGCATTTTGTTGTCAGAAGAAATACTTAATTTTTGGTGCGGAAAGTGAAAATTTTGCAAATGTTATCGTATTATAAGAAAAGATGTCGCTAGCTTAAAGAGGATTATGAAGACAAACTTACATATATTAGGCTAATAACGCAGTCTCAGAAATACGACTCGTGATCGGTGCAGCCATCTTTTGTCGTTTATCTCACTTAAGCGTTTTAACCGTAATGTTGTTTAGCGAGGCTACAGGAATTGTCTTTAAGGAGGTTAAACCACCTTCTTGTAGCTTTCCTAGTGTTGTAGCGTATTGTTTTGAATACAGACGGTTCTGCTCTACAGAAGCAACAACACGTTCTGTCAAGAATCTTACAACGTACTGGAGGAAGTCCGTCCCTGAACTCCGCTTCTGTTTTGTTTCATTCACGACATTAGCGCTACAGAGGCGAGTGGTAATAATAAGAACTACGATTGACCTTGAAGGCGGACGTTCCCAGTCACGCGGGAGAAGACCAACTGATAAATTCAAAACGAAAGATCGCAGATAAACACAAGAAGAAAGTTTCTGGAGTATAATCCATCTGCCAAGAAAGTAGTTAGAAACGCATCAAGGAAAAGGGATCTTTTTTTGTATTTAGCGTCAAATGAAGACATGAAAAACCTCACGAAACACTTGAACGTAAACAGAAGGCTGCAAAGAAAGTAGAATAAAGAATAAAATATAAATCCTCAAGCGCTTGAGACCTTTTCTGATGCTACAGAATCATCAGTGAATCAGATGAAGATATCTTTGTGCGGGTTCTACGGAACTGCATACAGGTTACCGTTGTCGGCTTTGAAAGTGTCAGCAGCGTAGAATGTGTTACCGCGAAGAATATGGTGCGGCAAGTCACAGGAATTTTGATTGTGCGAAAAGTAACTCGTGAATAAAACCTGTATGAAAAGACATAGACACACTCAGCGTCATCTGCGAGAGAAACTCGTATCAAAGTTTCACCGAGTTCCCGGAAGATGGTAGCACCCGCTGATATCCACTGCAGTGCGTCTCTGTCAATCTGGTCACGACGTAAACCCGAAGGTGATATAGTGTGTGAAGAGGTGTATTGAAATGAAGTTGAACCCAGGTCCAAAGACGTTTAAGATAAAAACAAAATTAGCAGAAGACGCCACCATCAAAACCATGGATACGTTCCGAGAGTGAATATGGCTGTCTTCTGGATTGTTACGCCGTGTAGTCTAGTAGAAGTTTACTGACATGTCAGAGGTCCTTGCTGCCTCTATCATCAGGGCGATCTGCCTACGATTATGTCATTGCCTGTGATTTTTCTCAGTGATGGTTCGTTAAAAGACTACTGAACTCTGGTGGTCGACATCAACGATTTGAAGGACAGAATTGCAGCTTTGTATGTTGACATGGATGGACTTTGAATATCGTTTGGAGATTGTACGTGCCTGTGTTCAATGTACGTAATGTTCAGAACAAACTTTGACAGTTTCTCTCGCAGGTGACAGTCAAATGGTGTGTTTGCTTTTCGTTAAGGGGTTATATGCAATCTTAGTTACACGCAACTGCCACTTGTCGCCACCTGACAAGAAACTAATTTGTCTAGTCGCCGCCAAGCGCTAACAGTAGCTTCCGCTGAGATTATTCAGACAACGCTGCAGTCGTGTAAGTTACTTGTTATCGTGTGCGTCGATATTGTTAGGGGTACTGTTTTTTTCTGTATAAATCGTATGTGAAATGTGGTTCCTCTAGAAAGTTTCGTCTTAAATTTAAAATTAAACACTGCAGTTTATTATAATACGGAAAGTAATAATGCTTTTAATACAGTTGCTGAGTCAGCGAGTGGGAGCTCCAAGGGCCTCGGCAGCCGATTATTACGTCCACCGCGCCAATCAACGTCTGTGGGAACACATGCAGAAATATGCAGTAATAGATGTTGAAGATGGGATTCAGCATCTCAAGTGAGTGTTATCTGACCCCACTAAACTGAGTTAAAAATAAAAATGTAGGATTTGTGGTCTTCGCAGTGTTGAGTCTGAAGATGGCCTTCTGTCTGGTAGAAGTTTACCGACGTTTCGGAGGTCGTTGCTGCCTCCATCATCAGGGCTATCGTCTGTTGATAGAGGCAGCAAGGACCTCTGGAACGTCAGTAAACTTCTATGAGACTAATGGTAGTTATTTAAAAAATAATAATACTTTTATGTAGTTTTTTTTTTGTCTGTCCAGGAATGGATCTCTCGATATTTTGATCGCTGACACGCCAATCTTGGATTACTATCGGGCGACGGATCATGGCTGCAAACTGCAGAAGGTTGGCGATGCCATCAACGAAGATACTTACGCTGTAGCCATGGCGAAGGGTTTTCCACTTAAGGTAAGACTGAGGAAGACAGTGACATTATTATGGCGTTAATCTTACAGATTTAACATTTTTGGAAGAATTGCTTTAGTGTAGTAACTGTGGAATAAAATAATATTATAACATTTCGTAACAAAACTTCCTATTTTCAAGAGGGTTATAATTAGAAATTAAGTTATGTGTGATTTTTTTTATTTAGTATTATTAATTGAATTATATGACTTAGGTATATTTAGTTAATTTACTTATTAATTATTTTGCATTAAATTAGCACTGTACATTTATATATTTAGTTTATTTTTGTTTGTTTTTGTATTGTTAGTGCTTGGCTGTTATTGGCATTTTTGGCTGTTGTCAAGCAATTTAATAAATGAATTGAATTGAATTGAATTATTTACGTAATTATTTTGTAATAATTTTAACACTTTCACTACGAAACACGTTTTCATAATCGAGTGCAGCCGAACACATTTATCAACACGTAACTTCGAAAAAACATCAGAAATCAACAAAATGGCCAATAAAAGTATCTGTACCACTAGTCTTGTTATTGTTTAATGACGTGCAGAGTTGAGTTATGAATGTTAGAGTCTGAGAATCGTCTCTCGTAATGTTTGTCTGACAGGACAGTATCTCCGCGGTGATAGCTAAATACTCTAGCAATGGATATATGGACATCCTTCAGGAGAAGTGGTACGGTGGCCTCCCGTGTTTCAAACTCGCCACCGACATCGCCCAGCCACAACCTCTGGGAGTGGCAGCTGTCGCAGGTCAGACGACATTTTGAATTGCGTGTTTGGATTTGTATGTCGGAACTCAAGTCAGGGTTGATAAATCTCAAGAAGATGGCTTGTCTTCTGGGTTATTGCGCCACGTAGCCTGATAGAAGTCATTATGATGGAGGGGCAAAGCACCTTTGAAACGTCTACGCGGCGCAAATACCCAGAAGACGGACGTCTCGGACTTACCGACAACGAAAATCTTAAATTTTATAGATTAATATAGTTTTATTATTTATTTTCAGGGGTGTTTATACTACTTGGCTTAGGAATGGTGTTAGGTTGCCTCATTCTTATTTTTGAACATTTATTCTACCGGTACACCCTTCCAATTCTTCGACATCAGCCGAAAGGAACGATTTGGAGGAGTCGAAATATAATGTTCTTCAGTCAAGTAAGTACAGAAGTAGATATTTTTTATTTTAGAATTTAAATACGCATCGATTGAAAATTTACGTAGGCATATTAAAATATTTAATGATGGCTGTAATGAATATATTACGTAACTTGTTTCGGCATTTCGAGTGCAAGGATTTATTTTTCAGAAATTCAAGAGTCTTTCGTTGTCAGACTACCTGGAACGTACGACAATCAGATTTGGAATGCATTTCGTAATTTTCGTGTACCAAAATAAATCCATAATATCTTGTCTACTGAACTGTTTCTGTTAATCAAATCTAAAACTTCTTGACGATGGTGAAGAGTCAATTGAATAAAAATTT